AGACACACACACACACACACACACACACACACACACACACACACATCTCTGAGTCATGGGGATCAGTAACCAATGTGCCATTCTGAGCTGTTAGGACTGCATGATGGGATGGTATTACAAAGGCAAGCTTCTTTCGCAGAGTTTCACCGCTGTGACCTACAAATGAAAAGCGTTGTAGATAGTGTCACCAAAGGGTGATTTTATGAGGTTTCTAGCTGGCAAGACAGTGGTAAGTGTACATAGTAAACAGTAAAAATATAGGGAAAGCACACAAAAGAGGAAATAAAGAATAGGTATAAGCCAGAGGCCCTGCATTACAGTTGTTATTACATTGGTAAACACACAGCATTTATTTTTAACAAAACAATGTCAACAGCAATCTAATAAAAGACTATTTTTTATTAAAGTTACATTTCTTAATAATAAGAAATAGTGAATTTGTGAAATTATGTGAAATTCACATAACGATGCAATTACAAAAAATTTAAGTCACAATGGTGAGACAGAGTCGCAATTACAAGAAAAAGTCGTAACTGTGACCTGCGCTGTAGCTTGATGCTTCTGAAGAATAAGAATAATGATGCAGTTACAAAAAATGAAACATTGCAATGGTGAGATGTTGTCAATTGTATTTAGTTACAATTGTGATTATTGGACATGTGCTGTAGCTTGATGCTTCGCTCCATAGGGTTCAAAGCAATACGGAACACTGACATGAATCACATGAAAAGGCCTTCAGAGATTAATCAGGAAGCTCCTGAACAGACTATTTTATGATCCTAGAAACAATGCAGTGGGTCAGACTCAGCCAATCAGAGCTGCTAATTAAACTGGTAATTACACACCGTTAAGGGATTAGTGACTGATGTGGAAGAACTGTCCTCCATGTCTCCTTCCCTCCATCCTTCTGTCCTCTACTTCTCTCCCCCTCTCTCTCTCATCATTAATTTTCTCCCTTCCTTCTATCTCACTTTCCATCCCATCTGTGTATCATTCTTTAGCTCTCTCTTACACAAGCTTTCTCTTACTGTCATTCACATCTCTGTCTTTTCTTTCAGTGCCTCATGGTCCCTCTAACAAAGAAAAATGAACAGCATAGTGCTGACAAATTAGAGCACAACCTCAGTAAACAAACACAGCTTCAGCTGAGCGAGTAATAAACTGCAGCTTTGCTTCTTATCATTAGCATGGAGTCAACTAATCGCTAATGTGCTGTTTTTCATATTAAAGATAATATATCTGATCACACACCAGTTTATGGGAAATGAGGTTAATAATCTAAACTTTGACTAGTGTGTGTGTGTGAGTGTGTGTGAGTGAGTGTGTGTGAGTGAATGCACCTCCTGGTGTTTTGGAAAAGTTGCTGATGTCTTGGCTCTTTTCTTTAGCAGACTGCGGCTGTGTCTGTGTATTTATTAGTCTGTCATAGCCAGACCTTAATAAACGGCATAAATTCTAATCCACATTGCGGCTTGAGAAAAGACATTTATAATGTTACAAAAGGTTTCTGTTTCAAATGTTTTTGAACATTCTCTTCATTAAAGAATCCTGTACCATGGTTTTCACAAAAATATAAAGTAGAATGACTGTTTTCAACACTGGTAATAATCATAAATGAGCAGCAAATCAGCATATTAGAATGATTTCTGAAGGATCGTGTGCCACAAGTCAGCCTTGGTGAGCATAAGAGACTTGTTAAAAAAATCTTACTGACCCTAAACTTTTGAATGGTAGTGTATGTCTTGCATTTGTATCAGTGTTTATGTGCTGAAATTTGAGTAACAGCACTATTATTGCCAGACTAAATTCAAGAATTATGCCTGAATTACGTAATATAACCTAAAAACTTTAAAATCAGCACATCAATGCAAGACAAGAACAGCAAAAGATGTGACTCTTCAGATCTGCTGAAGTGCAGCAGCATTAAAAGACCAAACAGGAGCACCCATCAAATGAAACATCAACAGATGCCTCTCCTCTCTTTAAGAGAGCAGTTTACAAGCTTAAACCAGAGCAGATCTCAGTGCAGACACATGCACGAGCCTCAGAGTGCATCTGCAGTGCTTAGAGAATACTTAGAGAATCATAGATTATCTCAGAATTATACAGATTATCATAGTGGGATTAATGCTAGAAAACCTGACAGTGGTGTTTTAAAATGTGTTTGAGTAAAAACCGGAATAGAGAAAAGAACAAAAGAGGCTATTGGTAAAGATGGTGCAAAATAACTGAATGCTCTGGCTGTTGTTAGTGTGTACAGGTCATTTCACTAAATCTCTTTCACACTGACCACAACCAGAAGTCATTTATTTTCAATGAGAGCTGGCAAAAGTTAGACCTTGTGCAAATAAGCAGTGACTACTAAAGGAAATTAAGAAATTGGAGCACTGTGAGCAATTCACTGTTGTATACGATTTGTCTTCGCCCCACATAAGGAGATGTTAAAAAATGATGCATAGAAAACCACGTCGGCATTCTGATTCGTTTGATTCATTCATTCATAGTCGTTCATCTTTTTCATGATGTGATGTATTGTGCACTGCTGCGATTTATACACAAATGCTTTGCCCTGCAGGTTGTTCATTTTTAGAAGCTAGAAAACTGATTAATTGCCAAAATGATATCTTATTTTAAATGACAGTACATCTAATTTGTGATAATTTGTTCGCCAATAACGTTACGTAATCTAGCAGCCAGGGACACTTACTAGTGACCAACCTGGCAACATTCAGTGCACTGAATGGCATGGGTAATAAACAAGCGGCAACCTCCCGCTCTCTCTCGTGAAGCCAACAAGGAAGTGACTTAAACTGTAATTCATGTTGGCTGCAAAAGGGAGTCAATCCCATAGACTCCCCATGTTAAAATGCCCAACTTTACAGCAGAAAAAAACATGTTTACAGCCTGGTTCAAAAAATGAATTTGGTCTATATGGCTAATTTTGCCCTTCATGATAACTGTGAGGGGGTGAATTTTTTTATAACTCATCCGTTTAAATTATATTAAGCCTTAAAGTTCTGCATAATTAAGGGCGTGGCCACTTGAGTGACAGGTGGATTGCCGCTGCTGTCACCACCGTCAAGCTAGGTGGGCGTGGCTTCAGCAACCTGCTCCCGCCTCTTTGCCCATTTTCGATTATCCGGGAGTGACGCGCGGTGACGCGCTGCGAAGATGGCGATGGCCGCCTCCGCCCACTTTTGAGCTTCAAAAACGCTCTTCGGAAATCTACGGGTGACGTCACGGACACTACGTCCATGTTTTTATACAGTCTATGGTAATAAACTAAACTTGACTTTCCATCGATACTATTGGTGCTTTTGTCCAAGCTAACAGGGAATGTTCTCAAAACTTTGGCTAACTTTCTGCCAATGTTCTCGCAAAAGTTATAAACAAACATTATTCCAGTAATGTTAACAGAATGGTTGTTGAAAAAGTAATGTTCCCATAATGTTTACAAAATGTTAAAATTGAATGTTCCCATGTCATTCACATTACCAAGAAAAAAATGTGAAAACTGGACATTTTGAACGTTCAGAAAATATGGAAACGTTAGTCAAATGTTCTTATAACATAGTTTTGTTAGCTGGGCTGGACCTGTGGGTAGCCTGTTGAAACTTGACATTATAAATACAAATACATATAAATGTACAACTATCTAATGGGCAAAAATGCCTGTTATCGTGTATCAATGTGGATCCTGTTAAATGCTTCCCTCTACTGCAAAATTATGATGTATTTTAATTATCTTCATTTGAAGGCTTTTGTCATTAAAAATGGATTAACATGAATATGTGATACATATTGTAGAGGATTAAAGTTTCCAGTCCATTCCTCACAGGTACCTCTTATCTCTCTTAAATAAATATTTTACTCCTGAACTATCTCTCTTCCTCTTCCATGCCCTTTCTTCTCCCTTTTTCTCCTTTCTGTCTTGCTGCAGTGGGTAGATTCTGTGTTCTCAGTCTTAGAGGAAACAGCAGGAGGGCAAGCCCTGAGCTCACTCTGTATTTCCAAATAAAAGAACAACAGAAAGATAAAGACCCGGATGGGCTGGAGAGGGCAAATGGAAGACAGATGGAAGAGGGAAAAGGGGTGAGAATGTTAACAGAATGGTTGTTGAAAAAGTAATGTTCCCATAATGTTTACAAAATGTTAAAATTGAATGTTCCCATGTCATTCACATTACCAAGAAAAAAATGTGAAAACTGGACATTTTGAACGTTCAGAAAATATGGAAACGTTAGTCAAATGTTCTTATAACATAGTTTTGTTAGCTGGGCTGGACCTGTGGGTAGCCTGTTGAAACTTGACATTATAAATACAAATACATATAAATGTACAACTATCTAATGGGCAAAAATGCCTGTTATCGTGTATCAATGTGGATCCTGTTAAATGCTTCCCTCTACTGCAAAATTATGATGTATTTTAATTATCTTCATTTGAAGGCTTTTGTCATTAAAAATGGATTAACATGAATATGTGATACATATTGTAGAGGATTAAAGTTTCCAGTCCATTCCTCACAGGTACCTCTTATCTCTCTTAAATAAATATTTTACTCCTGAACTATCTCTCTTCCTCTTCCATGCCCTTTCTTCTCCCTTTTTCTCCTTTCTGTCTTGCTGCAGTGGGTAGATTCTGTGTTCTCAGTCTTAGAGGAAACAGCAGGAGGGCAAGCCCTGAGCTCACTCTGTATTTCCAAATAAAAGAACAACAGAAAGATAAAGACCCGGATGGGCTGGAGAGGGCAAATGGAAGACAGATGGAAGAGGGAAAAGGGGTGAGAGATAAAGGGAAAGAGAGGGAGATGAGAAAAGGGTGTTAACTATTGCTTGCAGTTACATACTCTCACCTGAGAAGGGCAGCAGAGATACAGCTCAGTCACGACTTAAACACAAAGAGGGAGGACTGCAGTGAGAACAGATATTCAAGAAATCTGTGTAGAAATGGCAAGCTAACATGTACGCAGAAATGCAATTAGTAGTATCCTGTTTGCATATTAGGAGTGGCTGTAATATGATTTCTATAGAAACAAACATTTCAATGTCTTGATGAATATTTTCCACTTCATATTTGCTAAGTTGTTTAATTATGAAGTGAATGACTCACACACATTATTAGGGCTTGCTAGTTCAGCGTGTTCACACAGGGCATCGCTAATAAGCCATCTTCTCACACTGGGTTTCCACCTTGATTCTGTTTCATATTTCGCACCCTATTCAGGTAAGGCTGTTGGTCATTAGCAAACAAAACTGCAAATTGTTGTCAAGGAAAGCAAGATGCTTACATAAATCACAAACCAATTAACAAATATGACTAGCTCTTTGGTAAGCTAACTGCTAATCATGGGAATTCACAGTAGAGAAGTCTGTTGGAAGTGTATGCATTTAATTTTAAAACGAAGAAACCACCTGGATCTAGATCGCTTCGCCAATTGGGTGTCTCTGAGCTGCTATTGAAGCATTAGAGAGCAGCGTTTAGATTGAACGTTTTAGCTTATTACCCAAAGCACTTCTGCAGTCAACATGTAGGAGCGCCTGTTGCTTTACCCAGAGCCAGTGAAGCGTGAACGATCACAATCATTTTAGGACCACAGGATATGACATTTAATGCAATGCTTTTGCATTGACCATGGCAGTTACTAGGGCTGTATCAGTGATGTCCGCTTGTGGCATTAGCCTTTCTATCTTTTTTCAGGTCAGCGAACACACAGAAACATACATGCACATACAGGTACATGTACACGACTCACTGACTTATTCTGCAGGTTTTTGATGGAATTAGTCAAGCTAAGGCTTCATGATAACATTATCTGCACTGCAGAAAGGCTAACATTTAGACTTGTTTTCCAATAAAAATTATCTAAATATCTTTAAAACAGAATAAATCGACACAAGAATCGGCACAAGATATTACGTTTTCAGACAATGTACAATGAGTATATTCTGTGGATTTATTTGTTTATTTTGCAAATTATATTGATCAAGGGTTAAAAAACTTGGAATTACAAATTCGCAATATGTTTTCATACTTTTAGATTCCACTGTATCTTGAATTAATTCACAACCAAATTGTTTGGGGAAAAAATGCCCAAAGAGGTCAAATATGTTCCCTGAAACCAGCTTTAATATTATTATGCCATTTCAATTCTTAATTAAATGTATTGTTTTTTAAGTAAACTTTTCACTGGAAAAAAATCTAAATTAAGATTATTGTAAGATGAATATTTATATATATATAT